TCAAGTCATTACAACATGCTCTTTCTTCAACATGTTGAGATGAGAGAAGCTTGGGACTTCCATGGAGTTTCCTTATCGTCCAACCTTCTCAGTACCAAGTTCCACTCTGAGTACTGAAGTGCCAATGTCTCTGCTATGCAGCACAAACCCCTCCTGACCAATTGCATCTTTCAATCCACTGCAAAGTCAGTAGCACAAATTCAACTACCACGTAACTTTATTAATCTTTTAAAAGTAGTCAGATGAGTATACTTTTAATCAATGAAGAATTAGCTTTGCCATCCCTTTTGTTTACTCTTGTGTTTCTTCACACTGTACCCTTTGGATACATGGATTTAAAATCTGTGAAGTCAATGGAAGCAGAATAATATACTTAACACAGCAGGCTCTGGAGTTAAATCCTGGTTATACCATGCCTTTTAGTGATGTCTTAAGCAAGTGAATGCATATAATATTCTGTTGAATGGGAATTTAAAAAAAATAAACACCAATAGTTTCTTAGGTTTGCTGTAAGAGTTGACAGAAGGCACATCAGAGCTCCTGGTACTGTGGCTGGCACATAGTCAATGTCTGAAAAATAGGTAGTTATTACTGCAAATGATATTTAACACATGTAGATCCTCAGTCATTGTTGACTGATAGGTAGATAGATAGATAGATAGATAGATAGATAGATAGATAGATAGATAGACAGACAGATGGTTGGTTGAAACAATTGGTGCCTGCAGGCAAACAGCTCATGGTATAAACATAACTCTCTCTCTTAATCTGCTCACCATTGTTCATCTGTCTGGACAGACTGTGGATACCAGAAATTTGAACAAAACAATTCCGAGAAAACATCAGCACAGCAGATTCATTCAAGAGCATTGGGGTGGCTAGATTGATCAGTTCTGCCAGTTCTAAGTTCTGTTTCCTCATGTTTTTAGTAAACATAGATCATTTTCCCCTTTTATTCAAAATACACTTTCTATCCTGATTATGGTTTCCCCTCCTTCTACTCCTCCCAGTTTCTCCTCACCTCCCCTTCAATAAATATCCACAAACAGCCTTCTAAGGGATAATAATATAATAAATTATAATATGATAAAACAAAAACCAACACATCAAAATTGGACAAACAAACAAACAGAAGGAAACTACCTCAGAAGAAAGTAAAAGAAACAGAATGAACACAGGTTCACACACTCAGGAATCCCATAAAAACACTAAACTGGATGCCGATATGCATGCTGCTTCTGTCATCTGAGCTTTGATTATGTTGGTCTAGAGGGCCTTGTTATCTTGTTGTCCTCCATACCCCCTGCCTCTTACACTCTCTCTGCCTCCTCTTCTATGGGGCTCCCTGAGCATTGAGAAGAGGAATTTAATGGAGACATCCCTTTTATTCTCTACATACTGTCTGGCTGTGTATCTATCTATTTGTTCCCATCTGCTATTGAAGAAATCTTCTCTATGGTGGCTGAGAAAGGCACTGATCTACATGTATAGCAGAATGTCATTAGGAATCATTTTATTGCTACTTTTTTAGAAGAGTGGGAAACAGTAATGTTTGGCTTTCCCCTAGGTCTCTGGGCTGTTTAGTCTCAGGTGCAGTATATAGGTTCCATCTCATGGAATGAGCCTTAAGTCAAATCAGATATTGGGTGGTTATTCTCACAAGTTTTGTACCATCATTGCACAGCCATATCTTGCAGACAGACCTATTATAGATGAAAGGGTTTGTTGCTGGGTTGGTGTTTACATTTCTCTTTTGGTAGTGTGCAGAGTACCTTTTTGTACCAAAGATGTTAGACTATTGGGATGAGGGTGCTATGTAGGCACCAACTCAACTTTTCCATGAGGGTGCTATGTAGGCACCAACTCAACTTTTCCATGTTCAATGAGTTGTGTAGGTGTTATCTTCAGCAATGAAGTCTTACCTTTAGTTTGCCAGCAACCTATAATTTTGGCAACAATGTGTGTTATTTGAAATTCCCATGGGACCCTTTTGGCCAACAACACAATTATATATAATCCAATCTTGGGACTGTATACTTCATTTGGTGACAAGAGATAGACATTTGAAGCTCTGGCTTCTCCCATTATTTGGTAATTTCAGATATATTGTCTTCATAAATGTATATATTTTAGGAAGCTTTTACTGTATTAGGTTCATGTTCTACCACTCAAAAGGCCCTTAATTTTAGCTGTCTCTCCCCATATTCCCTCCCTTTCTCTCCTCTCTTCTTACCCTCCCCACTTACCATCATGCTCCAAAAACCTCCATCCATCCATAACTATCTATTCTGTTTCTGTTTTCTAATGAGATCTATCTCTTTTCGCTGGCCCTTATTCTATATCTAACCTCTATGGTTCTATGGATTATAGCTTGATTATCACTGTCTCAACAGCTAATATGCACATATATTATTTAATGCATATAATATCAAATAGATATTATATTTCTCTTTCTGGGTCTGGATTAACTCACTCAGGATGATTTTTTTCCTAGTTCAACCCATTTACTTGCAAATTGCTTGATTTCATTTTTTTTAACAGCTCAAAATTACTCCATTGTGTAAATGTATCACATTATCTTTATCCATTCTTCTGTTAAGGGACATCAAGCATGTTTCTGATCACTGGCTATTATGAATAGAGCAGCAATTAACACGGTTGAGCAAGTCTTTTTATGGTAGCATGAAGCATCTTTTGGGTATATGCATAAGAGTGGTATAGCTGGGTCTGAGAGTAGATAGATTCCTATCTTCTTCAGGAACTGCCATACTTATATCCATTGTGAATGTCCATGTTTGCACTCCCACCAGCAATAGATGAGTGTTCCCTTTATTCCACATCCTTGCTAGCATGAGTTTTCATTGTGTTTTATTTATTTATAGGCATTCTGATGAATTTAAGATGAAATCTCAAAGTAGTTTTAATTTGCATTTCTCTGATGACTAAGGATGTTAAACATTTTTTTAGGTGTTTCTCAGCCATTTGAGTTTCCTCTTTTGAGAATTCTCTGTTTAGAGCTGTACCCCATTTTTAATTGGGATATTTGTTTACTTAATATCTAGTTTTTATTTCTTTATATATTTTAAATATTAGTCCTCTATTGTATGTGGAGTTGGGAAAAATAAATTCTCCTACTCTGTAGGCTGCTGCTTTGTCCTAATGACATGCCATTTGCTGTGCAGTTTCATGAGTTCCCATTTATTAAAAGTTGATTTTAGCATCTGTGCTAATGGTGTTCTGTTCAGAAAATCTTTCTGTTCCAATTAGCACAACTCTGTTCCCCACTTTCTCTTCTATCAGGTTCTTTGTACCTGGTTTTATAAAGAGGTCTTTGGTCATTGGACTTGAGTTTTGTGCTGGGTGAAAAATAAGGGTCTGTTTGCATTCTTCTTCATGCAGACATGCAGTTTTACTAGCAACATGTGTTGAAGATCCTTTTTTCTGATGCATATTTTTGGTTGCTTTCCAAAAATAATCAGGTATCCATGAATGTGTGGATTTATGTCAGTGTCTTCAATTCAATTCCATTAATCAATATGTTTGGTTTTGTGCCAATAACATGCTGGTTCTCCCCCTCCCCTTTACTAAAAATGGATTATTTTCTCACACAATATATCCTGGTTATGATTTACTCTCCATGTACTCCTTCCAGTCCTGCACTACCTGCCCTCTCACCTGGATCCACTCCTTGATTGTCTCTCCTTAGCAAAGAACAGGTTTCTTTACATTATCTCTCATAAACTAGGCTGCAACTTGGAATTAGGGATAGTGATTCTGCCCACGGTTCTTTTATTCTTTAAGATTGTTTTAGCTATCCTGGACTTTTTGTAGTTCCAAATGAGTTTAAAATTGTCCTTTCTGGATCTGTAAAGAATTGTGTTGGAATTTTGATGGGGACTGCATTGAATCTGTAGATTGCTTTTGGTAGGTTGGCCGTTTTTACTGTATTAATCCTACTGATCCATGGGCATGGATAAGCTTTCCATCTTCTGATATCTTCTTCCATTTCTTATGTCAGTGACTTGAAGTTTTTATCATAGGAGTCATTCATTTATTTGGTTTCTTGGTCTATTTGTCATTTGTATATAGGAGGGCTACTGATTTTTATGACTTAATTTTGTATTCACCTACTTTCCTGAAAGTGTTTATCAGCTGTAGGAGTTGGGCAGAAATTTTAGGGTCACTTATGTATACTATTCAACTTACATAAATTGGTAAATATAATCCATCTTATAAATAAATTGAAAAACAATATCTATATGAACATCTTATTAAGTGCAGAAAAGGAATACCTTTGACAAAAATCCAACACCCCTTCATAATAAAAGTCCAGGAGATATTAGGAACATGAGGGACATACCTCAACATAATAAAGGCAGTTTACAGGAAGCCTATATCACATATCAACTTAAATGAAGAGAAACTCAAAGCAATTCTACTAAAATCAGGAACAAGACAAGGCTGTCCACTCTCTCCATATATGTTCAATGTAGCACTTGAAGTCTTAGCTGGATCAATAAGACAAATGAAGGAGATCAAGAGGATACAATTTGGAAAAGAAGTCAAAGTATCTTTATCTTTATAAAATATTTTTACTAATTTTCCTTTCATTTATAAAGCACTGACTTCCAGCTGTGGTTTCTAATTACTAATCATCTAGTAGTGCTTCCTGGTGTCTTCATGATACCACTCCTAATCTCCCCCTGAAGAGATAACTGGCCAAGATTTCGTTATGCTCACTTGTTTCCATTATTAGCTCTAGGAGTTCCCAGTGGAGTTTTTAGGGTCACGTATGTATACTATGATATCATCTGCAAATAAAGATATTTTGACTTTTTCCTTTCCAGTTTATATCAGTGGCCTATGGGTTCCCAGGCAGTGCTTGCTGTAGTTAGAGGATAAATTAAAGCAATGGGGGTGTAGGGGTTTAGGAGGAAAAGATTTGTGTGATCCAGTGAAGATGGGAGGGGGCCGTGGTCTCAGCAGATGGTCTTCTGCAGAGCTAGAGATGAGACTGGAAGATACTATTTGCAGGAGCTGAGGAAGAGGTGAAGACATGCAGTTAGCCTTCCTGCTTTCCTGGCTGGTGTTTTAATTGGTAGGTAAAATTATTTCCATTTTAGGTGTTCCCTCCCAGGCTCTGAAGAGTTTTAAAACATGCTCCACTATGGACATTGATTTTTGTGAACTAAGAGAAAGACACTTTCAACACCTACAATGCATAAAATGTTCCTTACATCTCTCTTAACTACATAGAAATAAGGCATAAACTTCCCTTTTGTAAAAGAAATGACATTTATCAAGGTAATTTCCTTTGTTTACCTAATGCAGATACCAGGAAAAGATTTTCTGGGACATCTTCTATTACCTGACAGATTTTTAGCTACAGAACAACAATTTACAGATATTTGTTTGGTGCACATTCCCACATCCTTTCAATTTCCGTAATTTGTCAGCCCACTCCCACTTAATATGCTAAGCCGATATCTCCTTAGCTCTTCCTCCAGTTCAGCACAATAGGATGCATGTCCTAGTTTCCTTTCTGTTACTGTGATAAAACACTCTTACCATAAGCTGCTTGTGTGAAGACAGGTTTATTTTGCTTACACTTCCAGGCCACAGTTCATCACTGAGGGAAGTCAAGAAGGCATTCAAGCAGAAACCATGTAGGAAAGCTGTTTACTGGCTCTTTCATGTGCTCTTTCTCACAAGACCCAGAACCACCTGCCCAGGAATATTACCTCCAGATCTACAGGGTCCTTCTTCATCAATTAAGGCAATCAAGAAATCCCTCACAGACATGCCCAGAGACCAACCTGATAAAGATTCTTACTAAGTTAAGAATCACGTTGTAGGTGATTCTAGGCTGTATTAAGCTGGCAGTTAAATGTTCACTATGATTGTATAAACCTCAATCAGTTGGTCTGTTCTTTGTGTTGCTCGTTTTTATAAGACTTGTGTGTGTGTAATTAATTAATTTCCATAATCTTTTGTCATAGCTGTTACATGCATGAATTTACAACAGGTGTGGGCACCTGAAGAAGATCTGCTCAAGATCATGCCAGAATTAAGAAAAACAAAAAGAAAAAAAAAATCCAACATGAAGAAGGGAGAAATTTCCAATGCCCTGCCTCCTAGCTGAAGAGCTATTGGCAGCTGATAGCTACTTGAGGGTTCACTGGTAGGTTTTGCATGAACCAGTGGATGACCCCATACCCATACACTAATTGGACCAGTGAGTTACTAAAATAAAAAAATAGAACAATAATCTCTTTCAGAAGGGGAAGCTACAGGAAAGAGTTGAGGTGTCAATTATGATTAAGATGCATTATTTAGAGTCTTCATAGATTACACTTCAGTTAAGAACACTGGCTGTTGTTTTAGAGGACACAGACTTGATTCCCAACACATACATGGCCACTCATACATATCACTCCAGTTCCAGAGGTATCCAATGTCCTTTTATGGCCTTGGAGGGCACCGGAAATAGAGACAAGTATATTTCCCGTGCCCTCCATACACATAAAAGTAAAATAAGAGATTCTATGACATTCTCAAAGAGTAATTGAAAATTTTTAATAAGTTATTGATAAATAAATGATTGGAATATGTTCAAAAACACCTTTTGTCAATTTAACTCATAGAACATCCAAAGACCCTAGAAGGATATAAGGAAGCATTTTTTTCTAAGGAGGTACTGACTTTTAAATTTTCATCTAAAGTTCTGTTGCATTTATAGTAATGGTCTGTTCCTCATTTTCAATTCAAAGCACTAGTAAGTCTTCTGTTTTATAGATTAATAAATCAGGAGGTAGGGTGATTCAGGTAATTGTTCAAATATATGCCTACCAAAGGGTAGACTCAGACCTCAATTCCAAACCATAGAATTTAGCACCAGTATGGTTTGAGCATTATTTTAACAATAAGAAGATTTTAATCCTTTCTACATATAATGACAACATCAATCCATGTGCGAATGTGAATGGGAGACATCTCACAAGGATCCATCCCTAGATGGAAAGCAATGGTCAGTGGCTGTTTAAGAAGAATCAGTTTTAACCCTGGGATAAGCTCCTTGATGGGTTATTCATTCAATTTAAAGTGTCCATTCCCTAACCACATATACTTAAGAACAATACTAAATGGACTCTGTAGGGTGTGTGTGTGTGTGTGTGTGTGTGTGTGTGTGTGTGTGTGTGATATCAGAGAGAACATGTTTATGTGTGCCACAGTGGGCATATGGAACTCAGAAAGAGTTTCTTCCACCATGTACCCTGGGGGTCACACTCAGGTCTTCAAAGGTAAAGTGATCAGCATGTGTTTCTACTTGCCAGTCTATTACAAGCCATTTAAACAGAAAGTCAGCTAAACTTTTGAGAAAATGTAGTGGGTGGGGTAGTTTTAAGGACATCAATGATTAGATGTATAGAAGGCCTCAATCTCTAGAGATGGATATCTGAAAACAAACAGGAAGCCTGGGCAGCAGAAGTTGTTTCCATCTAGGAGTGGAACAATACAAGGACGGTTGTTCTCTTTGCTCCCCTATGATTCCCAGATTGTGCCACATGGAGTAGTATTATATGCATTTATTTTTAAATTTCCCTTGGCATAGTGTCTTTTGGTTAAAATATATCTATAAAGAGCATTTGAAACAAGCCAGGAGCAGAATTTAACACACAAAGCACATATTTTGAAATGAGATGGAGAATTTTCAAATTGCATTTAAGTCAATACAACTTCTAAAGCTAATGAAAGAACAACAAAGATGAGCTCAAATTAGTTGCTGTTGATCTTCAGCTCTTTGCCTTGCCATGACTGGAGCTCCTTCCCCTTAGGTATGCTGAGCAGATGTTAAATCATTACACACAACGACCTTGTCCTGCTTCTTCAGTCTACCTGCTGTCAAGGCCCCTGTGCCCCAAGGCGCAAGAGCTCAGCCACTTTATACATGCCAAGTCCAATCTCAGTGACAGGTAATGATGCCCATGGTCCTCAGCTCTTGTTGGAAAGAAATGGATCTAGAAGGTGAACTTGCCTAGGGGAATAGGGAAAATGACAAAACCTATGTGCTGGCTCAGACTGTGGCACAGCTACTGATCATCAAAGAGGGACCAGAAGGCCAGCCTCATGAGTCAGAAAGATGGAAAGAGGCGATTCCAGCTATTTGGGAAGCAAAGACACAGAAAGTTTTGTCTTCAGCCAAGGTTAGACACTCAGTCATCTGAGGCAATGCCACCATGTATCTACCCTGTCAATAAGGTGAAAGACAGAGGAGATAGAGAAAAGGATATGGTGGCCCACTGCTGGTGGTGTCTCGCAGAGGGACAATTCAGAATTATTTCTGCACAATTCTTTCTTTCCCAAGGCTTTCTCATTTACTACAAAGTGTTGGTTACATCTGACCTTGTATACAAATGCCCAAAGTGACTCTGAGTTATTTCAAAATCCAAAATGCATCCCACATTTCCCAGCTGGAGCCCTGGACTGACAGAGTGGAGAACATGGCCCAACCACCAGCTTCCATCTCTCTGCTTCCTGACTTCAGACACAATGTGGCCAGCCACCTGTGTTCTCACTGCCATGCCTTTCCCACCCTGAGGGACTGCATGCTCTAAACCATGAGCCAACATATGTCCTTCCTTCTTAAGTTGTTTGTATCTTGTCACAGCAATGAGACAAGTCACATTATATCCAAGCATACTTTTTTTTTAAACCATTCTTTAAGCTAGTAGCTAGTCTACTAAGACCTGCAGACAAAAAGCAGGCTGACAGTAAGGGGAAAATTTAGTTATTTTAGGTTGGAAGTAGAACAGGATTCAGAAGGAAACAAGTACACAGGTAGACTACTCCAAACAGATTTTAGAATAACAAGGATAAAATAAAAATAAGAACAGAAAAGCCTCCATAGAGATGAAACGATAATGTTCTTCAAATGAATAATAATCTAACTGGTTAAATAATTGTTACCAGAAACATCAGGGGCTGATACAAGCAGTACAAGTACACTCTACTACCTAGAAGATTAAGGAACAAAACCATTAACATTTTTGAAAAAAATAAACCGTTTACAATTGGAAATGTGTCTCATTAAATTTGAGAATACTTTTAAAATTTATAGCTAATGAAAACATTTTACTTTTTCAGACAAAAAAAATATACTTGCATATGTGTTCAGCTAGACAACTTAAACTTAAGCAAGACATTAGTTTCATACTGTATGAACCTAATCAAAATAATTCACTCGAATGAGATGGAAACCTGTGCATCAGCGCAAGGACCCACAGGTCTCTGTGTATCGCATATTTGCAGAGCCCAGTAAGGGGAGGTTGCTAATGGAGAGTGTTGGTCAGTTTTATGTTGCTTTGACCAAAAGAAAGAGGAAAGCAACTTAAGGGAAAAAATGTTATTTGCCACCATGATTTCAGGGCATTCAGAGCATGGCAAGATGCATCCATTGCTTTGTGCATGACGTGAGGCAGAGGATCTTGGTGCCTCATGGCGTCTGAGAAGCAGAGAACAGGAAAGGGGCTAGGCAAAAGTTATGTCTTTCCAGGGTATGTCACTGGTCACCAGTAACTTCCTACAACTATATAATCCCACTTCCTAATTCCACCACCTTCCCCAAATGCCACTTTACTGTGATCCCATCAGTGGGTGGATTACAGGAAAAGTTTATTCATGAACAGTAAATCTTATTCTCATGTACTTTTTAAGTGTCATACAATACTATTTACACTTTATTTTTTAATAGTGTGGATTATAAATATTAGCCAAGAATGATACCTATTATCCCAGGCTCTGGAAGCTGAGGAAATAGGAGTGATTTTGAGGTTACACTGGGCTACCAAGCGAGTTCAAATCTATCTTGGACTACAGAAGGAGACAGTCTCAAAAACCATACCTAAGTGCATATGTGTGTTTACATCTATATTAAATAAATATATTTATGCTATTAATGTAAATACATAGCTCATAGGCTGTACCTCTCTTGATGATAAAAACTAGAAAGCTAAGAAGAGATGTGTCTGAGGGTGAATATAAAACATCTATTTATCCTTACATGATTACATAATATTTTAATTTATTTTACCTATTACTCATTATAATTAGCACTGACTGAGGGATTTGTAATCCACAATATTAAAAAGACTATAAAATTTCTAAAGAATCAATAACATGAGATGGTCTGATTTGCTGCTCTTAGTAGAGTGGTTCACAACCTGTGGGTCACAACCCCCTTAGGGGGTCACACATCAGATGCCCTGTATATCAGATATTAATGTTACAATTTATAACAGTTTCAAAATTACAGTTGTGAAGTAGCAATGAAATAATTTTATGGTTGGGGATCACCACAACATGAGGAACTATATTAAAGATTCGCAGCATTAGGAAGTTTGAGAACCACTGCCTTGGCTTGATCAAGCACTTCTGAGAGCAGGGGCTCCTTGTTAACCAAGGGGACTGGATGGGAGATGTAGGCTGAATCCGGGTGGAACAGAAAGGATTCCAGGTCATAGGAGAAGCAGGTTGAGTAGCAAGAGCACTGAGAGCTGAATGAGTGACCCAAGCAGTGGGGATGGTGCTCAGCCTAAATAGCAGAAGTGGAAAGGTCAGAGGGTTCTTAATCTCTGGCCCCTGGATGTGGGGTAAATATAGTCATATGCGAGGGCCATGTTTTGGTCAACAACAGACCACAAATCTGACAGCAGCCCCTTAAGTTTACCATGAAGCAGAAAAAAGTTACATCATCCTAATTTAGTTTTTGTTTGTTTTCCTATTGCTGTGATAAAATACTCTTATAAAAGCAACTCAAGGAAGAGTTCATCTGGCTAACGTTTCCAGATTACAGTCTATCACAGTAGGAAAGTCATAATCTTCAGTCAGGGGAAGAAAGCAATGAATGTTTGCATTTGTGCCTCTCAGCTTGCTGTCTCCACTCACACAGTCCAGGGGCTGCCTAAGAAATGGTGCCACCCACAGTACACAAGTCTTCCTTCTTCAATCAATGTATTCAGGATAACTCCCCATAAACATGCCCAGAGGTCCATCTCTTAGAAGATTCTGGATT